ACACACTTGCTAAACTCAAAACATGATATAAACTAAAGGGAAAAAATTGTCAACTGGTACCCCCCCCAAAAAAAATTATCAACTAGTGATAATCACTTGGATATTTCATTGTGTTTGCAATATTTCCATGAATTTCTGTTGTCTAGTGTGATCTGTTCTGAATGTGTCCCTGAAAGTTCAAGTGTTAGAAATAATCCCCAAATTTATACATTAATGTACTTGGAAATGGGTCTTCAGGTGATAGTTAGGATTAGATGAGATCTTGAAGGTGGGCCCCCATAGTGGCTTTATAAGAGGAGGAAGACAGACCCAAGCAGACATGCTTGCTCAGTCTCACCATGTGATACACCCCCACACCATGTTTTGTTTTCAGAAAGAAGAATACCCCCATCAGATACCAGAGCTGTGATCTTGGATTTCCCATCCTCCAGAACCATGAGCCATATAAACTTAGATTTTTTTTTTTATAAATTACCTAGTTTCAGGTATTTTTTTGTAGAAACCAAAAATGTACTAAGAAATAGTGAATGGGCTATTTTCCATGTTATTTCCTTTTTAGTCATAGTTATTTTTCATTTTTTATTAGGACTAATGTTGCTATGAATATTGTGTGGGTGCGTTTTCAAATTTACACCTATGTTACCTTTAAGAGTTTTAGTTTTAGCTCTTTTCCATTTGGGGTCTTTTCCATTTTGAGTTAATCTTTATGTATGGTGTGAGGGAAGGATCCAACTTCACTCTTCTGCATGCAGATATCCAGATGTCCCAGTACCATTTATAAAAAGATTATTCTTTCTCCTTTGACTTAACTTAGTATCCCTTCTTGACAAGGTCATTGACCATACACGTACAGATTTATTTCTGATTATCATGTTCATTTAACATTTTTTTGGAGATAACCATGTGTTCTTTCAATATGAAGTATTTCTAGATGCAATAATTTTAATTAATCAAGGGATGATGCAAACTTAGTCATGGTGAACTATCCCTTTCCTATTCAGTTATATTTAATTAGTGATCATTTTGTGTTTATAAGTGGGACCCATATGTCATTTACTTCATGTCATCTTTGTCAGGCTTTGTCACCAGGTTTATGTAAGTCTTGTGAAATGAGTTCCCTCTTTTTCTATGGTTTGGGAAAATAAAGTTTAAAGTAGTTCATAATCTAGAATGTTTGGGATCCCCCTGAACCCTCCAGTTTCCCCTATCTCTGGAGGTCGCAGGTCTCTGTAAATTGATAGGCTTAAACCACGAGTGACTACTTAACTCACTTGAGTTTAGGAAGTCGTTACTACATTAAGAATAATTGTGTCCTCTCCTCCTCCCTCCATGTCAGCTGAAGCCATCCTTTCCTTAAAAGGTTTGCTTACCTGAGGTTGTTGCTATCCTTCATTTGTCCTAAATACCTATCATCTTTTCCCTGGTCTCCAGCTGTTGCTACTTAATCTAAAGAAAATACAGCCTGTGGAGCTGACATGTTTGCTCTCCTAAATACCTTGCATCTGTCTTTACATTAAAGTATGAGTGCTGGTGTGATGGTTAAAACATAGGTTTGGTGCCACGCTGCCTGGCTATGAAAAACACTGCAGATGGGCACAAATCTGTCTTCATCCTACTTTACCACTCTTCCAAGCTCCACTCCCTTTCTAGATGTTCCTGTCTTAAACTCAAAAGGGGGCTTAGCTTCTCAGTCAACCATTGTCATCCTCCCGCTCCTCCTCCTCCACCCCTCCCCCCTCCTTCCCCTTCTCTTCCTCCTCACGTTCCTTGATTTGCAAATGGCACCAGCATTCACCAGACACCCAAGAAAAAAATTTAAAAATCCATAAGTTATTCTAAACACTTTACTCTCACCACCCTCAACAACCACCCGCCATGCCCCATTGTTTCAATCTTTAAAATTTCTCTTCAGTTCCTCCTGCCAGCATCTCTGCCTAGGCTTCCTGTCCTCTGTGTTGCTCTCCTACCCATCCTTTACCCCATTCATTGAGGTGATCTTTCTCAAATGCAAATATGACTTGCTTAAAATCTTCCCTTGTTATTTGGTGGGGGGTGCTCAAGTTCCTTAATTTGGGCTCCAAAGTTCTACCTGACCTAACCATTCATCTGTGCACAACAGAGGACACAAACCACTCATTTGAAGCCCGTCGTTTTCCTATCTACTCATTCCTCTCTCTCTCCTGCTTGCCTCCTCAGACTTTCCCAGTTTTTCTCGCTCAATCAGTTTCTCTCTCTCTGCTAGATCCTCTCCATTACCACATAAGTTTGCTCTTTCAGCTTTGGTTTTTAGTTTCCTTTGGTCCAGCTATAGACATTTTTTTTTTCTTCTAGCTAAACTTGCCAGCAGGGATGTCTCATGCTTGTCCCTGGAGGTTTGTCTTGTGTCCATGACTGACCGTGACCTTTCCCCTTCTTGGCCACTAAGACTGCTTCATTAGAGCCATGAGCAACCTCCAGGCATCAAAGGAGGTGGGAAACATTTCATCCTCTCCTCACTCTAACTCTCCCTGGCATTTAACACTTCTCACCATTCTGAGAATCATTTTTTCTTAATTATTGACTTTGAAGAAAAGTCTTAGAACATGCACTACACCCCATTTCTTATTTTCCAGATCCTATTACTGGGGTAGAGTTTTTAGAGTTGAAAATAACCCCAAACTAACTCTGTACTACCTACCCACTGGGGCCTAAACAAGTTACCATTCATGTGCTGTTAACTTCCTTATTTAGGTTTTCAATTCAGACTTGCTGGAGTTCTAAATTAGAAACCTCTTCCTATTCCACATCTCTACTTCAATATGCCATTAGCATTTAGAAGAGCCCATGTCCTAACTGACCCCTGTCACCCTACCCACACTTATTCCTGCATGTCTACATGCAGGCCATGCTCACACACATGGTCCCACACACACACACACACACACACACACACACAGAGGCATGCTCATTGCAAACATGTACACACTTGCACACATACAAACTTGCACACACAATCACACTGATCTTCATCCCAAAGTCCTTATCAATTAATGCCCACACTCCTCACCTGCTCCTGCTAGGAACCAGAGTTCCCCCTTGACAACCCCCTGCTGCGTCTTCACTTGTGCCCATCCCCAAGTCTTTTGGACTCTAATTTCCCAGTGTCTTGAATATAATCATTCCTATCCCTCTTGGCTTATGACTAGTCTTGTCCAAGTCATTCCCTTCCCTGGCCTGGACTTGTGCAATAGGCTCCTAAATGATCTCTCTACTTCTCACTTTCCCCTTTAGCTGCCATCCCAACCCATACACTGCAAAGTTAGCTTTTTAAAATATGAAATTGTCAGTTTTTCTTAAAACCAGTTGCACTTATTATGAGGCATAAGCTGAGACAGCGTGACTGAGGACAGCCTCAGAGCTGAAACGTTAGAGATGAGCAAAGGGATAGCCGGAGGGTTAGCCCAAGGAAAGACAGGAAAGGTTGCATTCCACTTCAGAGAGAATGCAAGCGCAAAGGCCCTGAGGTATGAAAGCTTTGATAAGTTAGGGAAAGAAAAACAGTCACTGTGGTTGGAGCACAGTGAGGCAGAGAATGCTAACACATGGTGGAAAGGGTGGCAAAGGCTGAGTTATGTAGGGCCCTACAGACCATGAAAAAGTACTTTAATAATTATTTTAAGTTATATATATATATATATATATATATATATATATATATACATATTTCCCCTCACCCACTGGCCATAAGCTCCACATAGCAGAATCCATGTCTGATTTCTCCCCGCCTTGTTCACTTTTTATTCCCCATGCTTAGTACAATGCCTGGAACATGCAGCCAGGTCAAAGCACCTGGCAATTGCCAAAATGTACTGTGTCTTCTCTCCTCTAAGGTCCCTGTTTTGGTCTAACTCATCAGGGAATAGCTGTATCTGAAGATATTTTTTTATTTCTGCAACTGCAGGGGAGGCAATGCTGCTGACAGCTAGTGGACAGAGGCCAGCTAAAAAGCCATTCAGCCTACGATGTCAACAAAGCTGCCATTGAGAACCCTTACCCTAGTTTAGACCACCTATCCTCCAAGTCCTGTGAGCAGTGCCTCTTCTGGAAAGGTTTTGCCTCCTGATCAAATGGTTTGCATCTGAGGCTCCTCTTCTGGGATCCCCAACTTCCTCGATGTGATCCATCCCTTTGCCTGTTTTATGTCATGGAAGTGATAGAGTTTGGTGTATAGTTGAGCACCCTTATCCCAAAATCTGAACTCTGAAATGCTCCAAAATCTGAAATTTTTGAGCTCTGATATAACATTACAAGTGGAAAATTCTATACTTGACTTCTCTAGATGGGTCACAGTTAAAAATAGGCATACTATCCCAGCAGCTCAGGAGGCTGAGGCAGGAGGATTGTTAGTTCAAAGCCAGCCTCAGCAAAAGCGAGGTGGAAAGCAACTCACTGAGACCCTGTCGCTAAATAAAATACAAAATAGGGCTGGGGGTGTGGCTCAGTGGTTGAGTGCCTCTGAGTTCAATCCCTGGTACCCACCTACCCCCCAAAATAAATAGGCTCACCAAAAGTATTATATGAAATTACCTTCAAGATATAAGGGGGCATATGGAAACATAAATGAAATTTATATTTAGACTTTGCTCCCATCCCCCCAAAACCCCACACCCCAAATATTTCCGGGACCAAGCACTCCAGATAAGGAATGCTGCTCAGCCTGTATGTGCTCCAGCAGCTGGTATATCTAATGCAAACTGGATGGAAATTGATATCTTTTATTGAATGAGTGCAGCCTCCCCCCAACCACCTGTAGGGGAAATGGGTAGAAAGGTGTAAGTGAATTTCATGGCAACATTTAAACCCATATAGTTGACACCTATGAACTCACAGAAGGACTTCCCTAGCCTTGTGTCTATCCTGCAAAGCTACCTGTCTTCCCAGGTGTGTGCTAATTCATAACCTACAGAAATGGCTACTTCTTATGGGTACGACCTGAAAACATGGTCCACTCAATTAGTCACTGCTTTCTTAGAGTTATTCAAGTTTAATCCCAATAACATAAGACATAGAACTAGGGCATATGACAGATTCCTAACAATGAAAAAAAATAGGGCGGAAGCTTCATTTGCAGTTGGCTTGCTTGTGAGTCACATCTACTTCTAGAGCAAGCATGGGCCTGCTGATGCCCAGCAAAAATAGAAATTCCTGTAGTCACACACTTGTGTTTCTGATCTTGTGCCAACCATCAGGAATGCTCAAAGCCTTCTGCTTTGGATTCAGGTTTGAAACAGACGCTGGTGGAAATGCTGTGCCCTGGGGAAGGGCCTCTTCCCCCCCTGTCTTGCTGCTCCAAGCTCCATGGCTTTCTTCCTCCAAGACCCTGGTCCTCTCTCCCTGCCCAGGTGGCTCTGTTCCTGCTGACTGGGGAAGGAGCAGCCCCAGGTGCTGCAGGTGAGGGCAGGGGTGGGCACCTCACCTCCAGCTCACTGCTGCTGCTGCTGCTGCTGCTGCTGCTGCTGCTGCTTCTCCTCCTCCTTCTCCTCCTGCTGTGAAAGAAGCACCTTGCTCTGGGACATGGAACATTCACTACTGTTAGAAAGGCTTTGTTCCTCTTCCTCCAGCTGTTGGTCCTGCCCTTGGCCCTGGGTCTTCCTCCTCTCCAGCATCTCCTCAAAAAAGATCTGGCAGCTGAAGCCTTCTCGGATGCCATGCTGGGCATGCTCCAGCAGTGCCTCCAGCGAGGGGAAGACGCGGCAGCAGGCCAAGCAGCGGAGCCCATAGTTGGTGGTGACCAGCCAGTCTGGGTGGGTCTGCAGGTCCTGGAGGCAGCACTCCAGTGGCTCCAGCAGCTCTGCGTCGTCGGTCTCTGGACAGCAGTTGTTTTTGCTGGCTTCCAACTCCCAGTGCAGGTCAGTGTTGGAAGCCATCTCAAAGGAAGAGCCTTTCCGCCGCTGTCTCTTGATGAACTCGGCTTCACGGATGCGGGGCTTCCTGCTGACCGGCTGGAAGCCAGTTTCTGTCTCCCAGGCCACCGCCACTCCACGCACTGTCTGCACGCGGGTGTAGAGGGCGCACAAGCTCTGCGGGGTGGCGTCCTGGTCGTTGCACATACAGGAGAAGCAGGACCGGTATTGGGAGTAGGACTGGTAATCTGAGGACTGGGATGATGGAGAGCTGCTCCAGCCCAGCATCCCCCGAGCCCGGGCTGCGAAGAAGGCGTCCTTCTCATGGGGAAGGGCAGGTCCTGGCTCTGGAGATCTTTCCTCATTCTTTATGTTTCCTGAAAAGCAGAAGGACATTCTCATCAGTGCCCTCTCCAAGGGATTCATATATTACCTACTTCAACAGCCACTGATTCTGGCTTTGGGGGCCCCGGGGCAGGTCCTATAACCTGCCTTTACCAGTTTCCTCATAACTCAGAGATACCATAGTGCCTGCAGTGTGCAGTGATGGTAAGCATCAAGTAATTCTATGCAATGTTATCACCAAAGACTTGAGTAAGCCCCCCAAAGCCATCATCTGGTGAATAAACAGATTGTATAGCCACAGGATGCAATTCTATCCAGGAAAAAAATGAATAAACTATGGATATGTGCAACAATATGGGTGAATCTCTAATGCATTTGCTAAATGAAAGAAGCCAGATTTAAAAGGCTGCACAATTTTCGATTCCATTTAGATGACATTCTAGAAAAGGCAAATTTATAGGAACAGAACAGGCTGCCGAGAGCTGGCAGCAAGGACTAAGGGGTGGGGAGGAAGGCCCTGACCATAAAGGTACATGAGGGAACCGTTGAGAGTTGTAATGCTCTGTATCTTGATCCAGGTGGTGCTTACACATATGTACGCTTGTAACAATGCTTAAAATTTGTACATTTAAAATCTGTGAAGTTTTTATACACACATTAACAGCTCAGTGAAGCCTATGTACAAAAACAATGAATGGCAAGTACTTTGGCCATTCAACCACTCCTTCTCTTTCTCAGTTTGTGACATATCTCTGTTTTACCCAGAGGAGCTGGGTATATCTGAGATATCTCCCCCATCCCTCCTTGAACATTGACTGTATCCATCACCATATAAGCACTTGCCATGTTTTAACTCCTTTAATATTCAAAACAATCCTAAGAAACTGCATCATTATGAGCTCCCATTGGACAGATGAGGAAACTGAGGCACAGAGACTTTAAATGACCCGTGGAGCCACTTGGCCTCCAGAGCAAATGCTACCCTGAGGACACATCCTTTGCCCAAGGACATATCCTGGTAGCGTTCAGATGGATGTTCTAGATTAACTTGAATCCATTGATCATAAAGGAATTTTTACATCACTGCTAAAGTCAAAGGATTAATGTGTTCTTTCTTCAAAGACACATAAAAAAAATACAACGGTGAACATTTCACATTTTCAAACATACATCTCCTGAAACCACCTTGGGTACTTGAATAGCAGCTTAGGTCTCCTGTAAAGACTGATTTCCTCCTTCGTCCCCATCAGTTTTGATGGTGAACACACCCCTGATGCCTTGCCCTGGGTCTCCGTCCCAGAGAGTATACCTAGCTCAACTCCAGCCCTTCCTTTTGACCCACCTGGATGGCACAATTCCATATTGTCTTCTGTGGACTCAGGGCTGGTCACGCTGAGGGTGGTCCCATCAATGGGTGACTGTTCTCCCCTGTGGTCCATGAAAAAGCGTCTCATGATTTGAAGTCAGCACCCAGGGTCTCAGTGCTCCAGCTGTTTGGTGAAAGTTGGCTTGGGCTGTACTGAAGCCCTCTGGCTGGCCCCAGCCCAGTGGCTGCTGGGCTCTTCACCGTCACTAGGATCCTGACTATATTCTATGATGTCATCAGTGACATGGGTCTATTCTATGACTCACGGCAAGGACAGAGACCCAGCCAGGGTGATAGGAGAGGTTTCCCAGTGTGAGCTCATTTCCTCCTGAGACCTGTTCTGTCTGGTGTGTTATCAGGGATACAGACACAAAACACAGATGCATACATGTATGCACATAGAGACGTGAACATATAAACACATACATAGACACTTATACACCCAGACATGTGCACACACATGCATGATCACATAAGTTAAAAATGCTTGAACACACACAAATGTTCTACACAGTAGCATGAACACACACAACACATTCATACACACCTGGATATGAAAGACACACACATTCACTTAACCCCACAAACATACACACACACAAACTCACACCATATGCACTCGACCACATACACGCTCACATATCTATGTCATCACCCCACATCCACATGGGCCTACTTCACACCATGGGCACAGGATGAAAAAAAAAAATCTCACCTCCTCCATACTACCTGGCCCAGAGCTCCCACCTGGTCCTCTTTAGGCTCCTCGGCCCTCTGAGCCTCCACCTGTCTCCTGCATACACACCCTGGCTCCGTTCCTTCAGCTCCAGACTTCTCTCTGCTGCTCAAACCTACCAGGGGTCCTCCTCTGCCAGGCTCAGGGCCTGGCATTTGTTTTTCCTCCTGTCTTTCTAGGCTCTCTCCCCTGCCTCCCTGTGGGGCTCACTCTCATTCCCATCTCTGCTGAAATGTCACCCCATCAGAGAAGGCTGCTCATACCACAAAGGAAAGCATACTCTTCAGCTCTCCATCTCTGTTGCCTGAGACTAACTGGCTTTTTGTTATGGTGTCACCACCCTCAGGAATACATAATGTTCATGTGTGTGCCCCATGTACTTACCTGTATCTGTCTCTTCCTCCTTAAATGCTAGCTCCAAGAAAGTAGAGATGTCCCTTCTTCCCCTCATTATATTCCTAGTATCTAGAGCAATGTTTAACATATTACCAAGCACTCTAGAAATAACTGTCAAGTTAATGGATGAATAAGCAACCAACACATCAGGTTGACAAGGGCATCCCGTGCCTCGTGGAGCTGGCTGCTTTCTCTGCATCTCAGATCTCTGCAGCTCCAAGGCCTGCTGGTTCTCTCCCAGGAGGACTCTGAGACTCGCCTCTCCTCCACTTGCACAAACCATGCTTTGGCCACAGTCAGCCTGGCATAAATCCAGCACGCCTTGTCTCTTAGCTCCAGGATGTCCTCACATTTGAACATTCTTCCTCTAGCGCACTCAGCACCATTTTGCTCTGCAGCTAATTCTTTCCCAACCCCTGCTCAGTCTCATCAATTCTGTTTAGAATTTCCTAAAAGGTGATGGATTGAAAATAATCCTAGTGTTCCAGAAGCAATACCAACATCACCCACACAGCCAGCATCTTCCTGCCTCCTTCTCTTGCCCAGAGGGTGAGGCCCCTGCATGGAGGAAAACATAGGGAGCTCCAACGAATGATGAAACGTCACACCTGCAACAACAAAGAGACATTCATTTTTCTTTCTGGTACCCAGGGGTGCTTAACCACTGAGCTATATTTTCAGTACTCTTTAGTGTCTTATTTTGAGACAATCTCCCTAAGTTGCTTAGGGCATTGCTAAATTGCTGAGGCTGGCTTTGAACCTGGGATCCTCCTGCCTCAGCAGTTGCAGGGATTACAGGCATGCACCACTGCACTCTAAAAGTATTTTTTCTAGCCAAATAAATATAAGAATTGCCTTACAAAAACAAGGGTGTAACAGCACACCCAAAAAAATAAGATCAACAATATGATAGTTAGTTGAGAAATAAATATTTTAAGTTAGAATTTTTGTTTTGTTTTGTTTTTTCTTTCTTTCTACCTTTCTTTTTTTTTTTTTTTTGTACTTGGGTTTGAACCCCTAAGCAACATCCCCCATCCCTTTCTTGGTGGGGAGTATGCACTGGAGGTTGAGACCAGGGACATGTTACCACTGAGCTTTATCCCCATTCCTTTTTATTTTGCGGGACAAGATCTCACTAAGTTGCTGAGACTGGTCTTGACATCCTCCTGCCTCAACCTCCAGAATCATTGGGATTACAGACATGTGATGTGCCACCACACCTAGCTGAGGGAGGTTAAAGTTTTTAAGGGATGATATAAGTAACAAATATATGGAGGAAAAGAAGACTCAGCCAATTAAATGATGCACAAGATTGTATTTACTATTATAAAAAAATTAACTTTGGTGTGAAACAACTAGAATGGTTTCATATGGTTCAGATGTTGTGTTTTAATTAAAAATATGTAGAAAGAAAATACAAAATAACATTTATAATTATAGGGTTGATTTTCTCCACTTAAAATGATAATCTTCACAAGCATTATGGGTCATGGTCATTTTCCTTAACTTCATTGTTTTAAAAATATCTTACTGTTTCAATTTGCATTTTCCTCTCTTTTAGTGAGACTAAACAGAAAAACAAGTAAAGGAAATGAACAGGGAATTCCCATGAGAAGAAATGCAGATGGCTGGTGAATGTATGAGAAGATGTTCAATCCAATTTTAATAAGGGAACTACAACTCTAAAAACCATGATATGCAGTACATCAGTTTCCACCTATAACATAGGCAAGAGTTAACATGATTGACAACACCAAGTTCTGGTGAGGATTCAAGAAAATGAATTTTCTTATACTGTATTGTTAACAATGTAATTTTCCTTCTCAGAGGAAATGTGGTGATACCCTTTACATTTACAAGTGGGCATATTCTTTCATCAAACACTTAACTATCACCCTTTTCCTGATAAACAGTCACTTTTGGGCTACATACATAAATTGGCACCTAGGGAATTATTTACTGCAGCACCGTTTAATAATAGAAAAATAGGAAACATTTCAAAGATTCATCAAAATAGAGAAATGGTTAAATAAATTACAACATAATCAAATTATGGAATACTGCTCTATAATTTAAAAAACAAGTACTGATAAATTCCTTTCACATGAAAATTCAAGATGCAAGAGAATGCAGAGATGATCCTATATATGTAAAAATTAAACATGACATTCTTCTTCACAAAAGCCCCAAATCAAATTCTATAGTGTCCATTATGCAAAGGCACATAGAACATCTGAAAATAACCACACCTGAGGAAACAGCATTGACCTCAGAAGGAGAGAAAGATAAGATGAAGCTCTGGGAGTCTGGATTTCCCAAAGATTGCTATGCCAATGTATATTCTATCCTACATGCTCTCCTTAGAGCATGACAGGATCCCTTTTTCTGAACCTGAGTGGATTTTGTAACTGCTTCATCCAATAGAATCCAGAGGAGTGATGCTTTGTGGCTGTCAGTGGAAGCTCATAAAAGATGATATGGCTTCCACTCTCTTTTGGACTCATCCACCATGTTGTGAGGAAGCTCATGTTACATGAAGAGGCCACAGGAAGGTGTTCTAAGCAACAGACCCAACTAAGATCTCAGTTAGCCACCAGAAAGTGACTCCAGATGATTCTGCCTCCAAGCTTTTGAGTTTAATCTAGGGCCCTGGACATTACAGAGTAAAGACAAGCCACCACCTCTATGCCCTGCCTGAATTTCCCCATCCACAGAAACTGTGCATAGTAAAAGGTGATTTTTAGGCACTAGATTTTGGGGCAATTTGCTTTGCAGCCAAAATAATTGAATGGCTGTTGATTGTTACTGTAATACTTAAATATGCCCTAGTAGGACAGCTCATTGACTAGCCTCTGTGTTCTGTGTGCCTCCCTTGTCCGGTCAGGGAAACTGAACGGCCAGTGAGCACTGCGGTTTTCCTAGGACAACTTGGACGATGGCTCCCACCACCACCATCCAAGTACCTTTCTGTTTAGTCTGGTGTGCATGTCCATCTACTTTAGCAGTACTAAGCCTGACCTTATGTGAAACTACTTTACCAAACAGACAACAAGGTTTACAAATGGTTGTCTTTGTCTTTAGCCTTATATTTTCTGGTCTCCGCACCATTTCCCCAAGTCCCTTGATTCAGTGAATTTTCCCCTAGAATCTCCATGTGATCTTTCTAATCCTCTCAATGTCAATGTCCCCCACCAGGTGGGCACTGTTAATCCTCCTTGTAGATAAGGAATTGGGTGGTCCAGAGGGGTTCGGTGAGGTGCAGGTGGGTGGTTGAGGATGGCTGGGCTGGGGCAGGTCTTCCAGCTCAAGCCTTGAAGGCAGGGCTGCTTGGCCAAGCTGCTCTCAAAGCTGTCCCCTAGGCTGCTCCCGGGATACAGCTGAGAGTGAAGCCCCTCTAGTGGCATGCAGTCATCCTTCACCCTCATGTGGCCTCTGGGCTGCCTCTGCTCATGGAAAAGGCCTCTATCCCAGCCCCTCTGCTTGCTCCAGGCTACTCAGCTGAGACCACCCATCTAGGGTTCCCGCCCACCCCACCCCCCACCCCCCATCCCAGCGCCTGCAGTTTTCCAGCTGGTTCTCTGGTCTTGCCAGGAATCTCCTTGCTTGGCTGCCCTAGCCAACAGGGGTGGTGTGCAAAACCCCAAAAGGACCAACGCAGCACTTTCTTGGAGCGCTGTCTGACTCCAGGCCAACTCCTTGCACACATCGCATGTGAGCCCTAAACTTCATCCAGAAGGCCTGGAGTCTTTTCCAGTCTTTACTTTTCCTTCAAATCCTGCCCTTCCCAGCCTCTGTTTTTCCTGAGAGGAAGGCAGCTAACAGGAAACCAACCAGCCACAGCCACTTCAGGAAGCAGAGACGCTGCATCTCACTCGCTTTCTTTTGCTTCTAACATGAGAAATGGGTTTGTGCCATCACCCAGGCTCCGGGCAGCATCAGACCATTCATCCCAACACCAGGGAGAGTCCAGAAATAGCCTGTTGTCCTGGCCAGGGAGACTGAGATGGCAGGCAGGACGCATGGGTCGTGCTTGTGGCATTTCTGTGGCTGAGCCCCTGTGTGACTGTTTCAAGAGGTGCAGGTTCTTCTCTTCACACTAAAAGTAG